AGGTGCCAGCTGTTTCTGTCCCTTTTTGCAGCCATGTCCGGCTGCTCCGCGGTGTGACCGTCCCATTGCCCACATGTGCCCCAGCCTGAGCACCCAGCCCAGCCCCAGCGTGCCTCCATCACTCCCACTTTCCCCTCCCCGTCTTTGATGGGGTTTTGCACTCCTGCAGCTGGCACTGGGGAGTGTGGCACCACAGCCACAGGTCAGCTCTGGGTGATGCCGGGAGGCATTCGGCCTCCTGCAGCCAGCTCCTGGCCCCAGCAGAACCTTCCAGTAGATTAGCAAGACAATTTTCCTTACAATTGCTCATCATGGTAAGAGCTGCAATTATTAATGACCGTTCCAGCTGCCAGAGCGGGAGGAGCAGCTCTTCCCCACACCCGCTGCCCTCAAGCCCGTTCCAGCCGGAGGTGCCGGCGCTGCCTCGCACCCGTCCTTTGGGACGGCAGCTGCATCGCATGAGCAAATGCTTGGCTGCCCTACGATGGAGCACGCCCAGAGCTGGTGCACGTGGCCCACGCGTGCCCCTGACTTCTTGTCCCCTGTGCAGGACTCAGGGCCAAGGCACAGCAGGGACTGTGGGACACTGCCGGGTAAGCGGGGAACCCCCCTACAGCATTGGCCATCTGCCCCATTTCCTCTTGCTGCAGCTTTGCCTCCTGGATTAATTACCGCCTCTGTTAGCAGTCCTGCCTGCTACGAAGAGAGAGGGACAACCCAGGCGACATGAGGGGTCCAGCCCAGGCTGACACAGGCAGAGGAGGAGAAATCCAAGGTGAAGATTTCCCTCAGAAAGCTGGAGGGAGCTGAGTCGGGCCCCGGGGGGAGTGGGGCGAGGGCTGAGTGTGACCTTCCCAGCCGGCCGCACCTCGCTCGGCGAAACCGCAGGTCCCAAGACAGCCAGCACTTGCAGAGAAGTGTTTATTAAAGGCACTAAAAGCACCGTGGCTACATCAGCGGCAGTCCAACCGGAGAGTGTGGGTTTGGGAGAAGCATTTACAGGCCTGGGACAGTAGTGGCAGGCGCTCTTTGGTAGAAAGCCGTTCCCAAGCCTTGCGGGAGCCCGCTGGCCTGCTCACCATCAGCACATGCTGCTAGCCCGCGGCTGGGGCAGGCTTGGCATGCTGCCCG